GGTGCTGCAGGTGGAGGATTAGCCTAGTGAGCTGCGGTGCCGGCCTGGGGTGAAGTCTCAACGCCGCTTCCTATTGCTTCCTATTTCAGTTTCCTGCTAATGAGCAGGGCATCAGCATGACCCTGAGGGGCAGTAGGGAATGGCTCAAGTGGTTTGGTTCCTGCCACCCACATGGGAGACTCAGACAGAATTCTAGGCTCCTAGTTTCAATCTTGCTCAGTTCTGACTGTTGTAGTCATTTGAGGTGTGAAGCAGATGGAAGATCTCTCTTTCTCTGCTCTTGGTCTTTCAAATAAAATAGAAATAAATTAAAAAAATTTTACAGAGTTTAGTATTTGTATGGTGCATATTACACACTTGGTGGTACATGTCAAGTATCCAGTAAATCTTCTTTGTAGTTTAAGTTGTTATTATTATTACCAGGAATTCCAGGAACACCTTGGTTGGCCTGTGGACCCTGACTCAGCATTCCCATACTTGTCATTTCTACTGCAACATTGGTTTATGTGTTGGTTTCCTCTTCTAAACTATCCACTCTTCCGCAATGAGTCGGTCTCACTTATTCTTCAGTCCCAACCACATGACATTTTCCCTGGCATATGGCAGGTACATATTAAACTATTTTCTGATTGGGGGAGAAATCACTCAAAACTCAAGTCTGAGTGACACACAAAACAAGGGAAGTCAGAGACTCAAGAAATTATTTAAAAAGTAGTCAGTTACCACAATACCCACTGAGATGATAGATGTGTAAAAAAGACAGGGTTCTGCTATTACTTTTTCTGTTCATGGTGTCTAATGTGTCACATGTACTCGTTTCTTTAATGGCTATAATTTTGGAAATACTGACTTCCAGGAACTTGACTGAGCCACAAAATATTTTCCTTCAGAGTATTTCATGGAAAAAGCATATGGTACTATTATTATCAATACACATTATTAATGCATGAGGACAAAACGCACACCCTTTGAAAGGCACACATCTTTCCTGAATGCAGAATTTCATTTTCAAATTATTCTTGTGCAATTTGCTTCAAATGGTGAGCAAATGTTACTACGTACATTCATTTTCCAAAATACTGAGCAGAGTGAGTTGGAATACACATTTCTATCAGACAGGTCAATAGCAAATGGTCAGGAAAAAACAAACCTGGGCCTCCATATGCATTGTGTGTCAAGATTTGTGCTACACACACTCTGTAGTTAAGCTTCCCACATCCCTCCTACACTCTATTAGCTATAGCAATGTATAAATACCGCAGTGTCTTCCATTAGCTTATTCCAAGCATAGTCAACCCTGTGTGGCATTTTTAGCCCCATTTTATAGATTAGGAAATCATGACTAAGATGTTAGAGACTTGTCCAAGATTGCTTACTCAAAACTACAAGACCCAGGATTCCAACTCCATGTTTCTGATTATAAAACCCAAATATTCGTTTTTGCACATCTTACAAAAATATCATATAGGATAAGAACAATAATCAGATTCTCACTGTCCTGTGCATTAGCCAGCTACAATAAGAATCAGTCAAGATGAGGTATTTTAATTTTATTCTTACTATTGCCTGAGAAGGCTCGGCAAACTCAATAAACATTCTGTGACTAGAAAATACACTTTTCTAGCCTTCATAAACAAAACTTTTACCCCAAAGGACACAGGTTTTAAAAGGGGACTATGAGTTTAAATCCTTTTTTCTCATAACCAGTCACTATCAAGATTTGAAGACATCATTACTCAATCTCCTAGTTAATCCTTCAAGAATTTAAATCATCTGTTTTCTATAGTATTCAAATTAATTCTGGTCTAAGGGCCAAGACCAGCATATAACATCATAATGTTAGATAGACATAAAAACTCAGAGATATAGAACTTATGACAAAATTTTTTGAAAAAAGAACTTTTAAACTAAGAATGGGAACGTAATTCTAACATGAACCTACCAGGGATATGCAAAATCTCATTTGGCCTAACTGATGTCCCAGTCAGGAGGAACTCCAAAAAGGTCTGTCAGCTGTATCTACTGTCTGACAACAGTGCAGATTCAATAATCTGTCACATGACCTACAATGGTGTCTAATATCCACAGCTGGGTCCAATGTTTAACCCATCTGATAAACTTCATCTGCCCAGAACATTGTGGTATTGATGGAGAAAATTCAGTTTAGGATTCTAAACTATTTGGTTTTGCTGTCTGGCTTTTCACTTGCCAGGTGTGGCATCCCTCCTGCACTGTGCCCAGCACCCATTCATCTCACCAGAGGGACAGAGGCTCTGGAAGTGCCCAGTAGTCTCTTTCCATCTTCCCATTGTCAAGGACTGAGCTGAAGTACAGCTGATGACTGCATTCCACCCAACCAGGCTGGCTTCCCTTTTTGGGGTGTGCCTATGTTAAAATGTCCCATTCACAGGCAGAAAAAGCTACTGGAAAGTTTTCACTTATTTGCATATGCAAGATAGATTTTCCTGAGCAAATTCTCAAAATTCTCTGGGGTGACCTCCCACCCAAGAGGAAAGCCAGTACCCACATGTATAAAGGAAGACGAGGTACCATTCAGCAGCATTCTGCAATCAGAGAGCTCTCAGACATTTGTTTCTAAGAATGCTTCTAGAAGTGTATCAGTGAATTGATCTCAGTGGTAATCTCTGTGATAAAACAGTCAGCTCTTCATTTCCATATTTATTTGCTGAAAATTTTTTAGAAGGAGAAAAATTCTTAAGATTCCCACACACTTGTAAGACCTATTCTTATGTAAAATAGCCTGATTATTTGCACACAAGAGTAAGACACGTGCTAGATTTGAACTTCACACCGCAGGCCTAAGCTAGGTGAGTGGTTCACGGGGAAATGTTGGCTTGCAGAGGTGAGAGGGAAGATCTGTAACCAAGGCAGCCCATTTGAAAGATAGTTTGGGGATAATAGGGGGAAAATTATTTTCCCAAGTGGTATTTTAACATTCCTTTTAACAAAACAGATCCCCCGAACAGGAAAAAGAACAATTAACGATGGCTAGTTTACTAAATCAGTGTTATCATTTCTCAGAAATGGGGACCTGGTTCGCCCTGAGTGGGTTCCCCCTACGAAGCTTGGCTTGCTTCCCATCCTTTCTTTTGCTTTTTTTTTTTTTCCCCCTCTAGAAAAAACACTTGGGATTTTGCGATGTTTTAAATTCAAACAAAAGAGAACGAAAAGAAGCGAAACAACCCAAGTAGAAGGCTGGGGCTGCAACTGATCAGGGTTCCTTTGGTTCCTGCCTCGGGGGGTCCTCTGCCATTCTCCAAGCGGCGCCCAGCCGCCGGGGCGCCGGTGCAGACCACAACAGCGCTGCGGTCAGGGGACGCAGCAACAGGAGTCCCGCCCGCCTCCGCTCCTCCCTCACCCGTTTGCCGCCAGGTGGGCTGCGGAGCGCACGCGAAAGCGGCCCTCACGAGGCGACGGTGAACGTGCTCAGGAGTTCCTTCACGGGCCGGGCCGGGCAGCGCTGCGTGCCGGGCACCGCGAGGCAGCGCCGCACTTGACGGCTTGGGATTTGTTTTTTGCATCTTCATCCCTCTCCTCCAAGCAATCTGTCCCCAGGGAGGGCTGCTTTCGTCCCCACTTCCCCCTTCACTGCAGGGCTCCCCATTTTCGGCACGGAGAGAGACGAGGGCTCCGGACCCTTCGGTTTCCAGTCCTGGATCAGCGCTGGGCGACAGTGAACCCACCTGGCCTGGCCCTCGCCCCCAGGGCGCGCGCGGCCCGGCTGCTGTCTGCAGCCCACCCCAGGTATCCACATCCAAGTGGTGTGATGAGGGGCAGCCTGATTCCACAGTCCGAAGACTGAAACTTGGGGTGCTAGATGGAGCTCCTGAGCCTGGCCATCTGCAGCGGCCCCGGCAGCCCGCGGGCAAAAGGCGACCACCCTCGGGCGCGCGGGAGAGCGCACCCCTGCAAACCCTTTGCTCCTGTGCCGGAGCGCAACTGACTGACCCGACCCGCCGACCCTCCCGCCCCTCCGATGGCCATGGCCCTTACCTCGAAAAGCTGAGGGATTTCCCTCCGGGCCAGATATTCCTTAGCATCGTTGGTGTTCATGACTGTGCCGTGCGTGCCTCGGAGCTCAGGCGGGGAGGCGGCGGGGCTGCGGAGACCCGGGTTGGGGTTGGGGCCGGGGCCGGGGCCGGGGCCGGGTCGGGGGTCCGGGTCGGGGATGGGGATGGTGGGGGTGTGCTTCGGTCACGGATGCAGCCCGGACTCTCAGACACCAACACTCGCACGCTCCGCTCTCTCCACGGTCTCCGCGCGCCCGCCGCCCTCGCCTCAGCGCTGGTACCCGCGCCCGAGCTGCGGGCTTCGAGCAGCGGCGCCGCGGCTTCCTTCGCCGGCTTCCAGGCTGCGCGGCCGCCAGGGGAGGGGCGGAGGGAGCGGAGGAGGGAGGACGGCGCGGCGGCGGCGAGGCCCCAGTGCGCCCGTCCGCCTCACTGGCTCCGCGCGCCGCGCCTCTCCGTGCCGGGTCTGCGGCGGCGGCCAGTCAGGCTGCGCGGGCGGGCGCGGCCAGACGGGCTCCGGGTGCGGGGGTGGGGACCGGCGCGCGCCGGGGGCTCGCACTCATGCCCTTCAGATCCGCCCGGACGGCCCCCGGAGCGTGGCGCTGCTCGGCTCGACAGGGACCAGGTGGCTCAAAGGGCAGAGCTGGGGGTCTCTTGGAACCTGCGACCTTTGCGCTTCTGTGGACCGCACACACACCTTTCATCCCGTAGAAGGCGATTCCGGCCAGGGGAAACCCAGTGCAGAATGTGTCACTTGTTGCTACGGATCTGCCACGATAGGGAGTTGGGGAAGGGAGATTCGTGGTGCAGAATCCTCTCCCTCAAGGTGATTTTTAGATCTTGAGTGTCTCCATCCTTCGGAAAGTTTTGCTAGCTGCTTTTGAGTACTTCCCCCCTATGGCTATCATCAGTACAAGGCCTTAGTCTGAACCTGAAATCTTGGTTACCAAAAGAATCAGTAAGTAAGCAGTCAACCTGTTAATTATTTCCATGGAGAGGAATGGCAAGGCGGAAGGGAGAATGCAGGGTGGCGGGCGGAGCGCTGGAGGCTGCTTATATTGGCGAGGACAGGCGTCGTTAATGAGATGCAAGGACTACACCGCCACCGGTGGATTTCAGGCCATGGGGACACCCCCCCCCCCCCGCGCCCCAACGGTGAGTATGGATGGGTATGGATGAGTTTGGGTGGACTGCTCAGGCACAGCGGTAATGGATGGGAATGGATGGTCTCTCTGTAGCTCACCGTCGTCAAGGTGCATCCAACCCTCCTCTTGGTTCCCAAGGTGACTCATTTCCCCCATTAAGTTGTCTTTCCTTTGCTTGTTTGAGAAGTGGTCCAAGCCGTGGAGAATCTGAGCTCTAAGAGCAATGCAAAGGCCCTCACGGTGGAAGGGGTGTGTGAGAGAAGGAATTGGTAGCCAGGGTCTGGGGGCCGAGAGGAGGAACACTGCCAGCTTCTACAAGCAACCTGTGCCTGTCCCTTTTCAGTTTGTCTTCACACTTTTTTTTTTTTTTTTTGACAGCAGAGTGGACAGTGAGAGAGAGAGACAGAGAAAGGTCTTCCTTTGCCATTGGTTCATCCTCCAATGGCCGCCAGGGCCGGCGCGCTACTGATCCGATGGCAGGAGCCAGGTACTTATCCTGGTCTTCCATGGGGTGCAGGGCCCAAGCACTTGGGCCATCCTCCACTGCCTTCCCTGGCCACAGCAGAGAGCTGGCCTGGAAGAGGGGCAACCCGGACAGAATCCGGCGCCACGACCCGGACTAGAACCCGGTGTGCCGGCGCCGCAAGGCGGAGGATTAGCCTAGTGAGCCGCGGCGCTGGCCTCGCAGAGCTTTTCTTGGGTAGCTCTACCCAAGAGAGGAAACTCAAGAATTAGTTGAGTTTTGTAAAGTGAATGGAGTTTTGTGAACACTGGTGAAATCATGTGTCATATGGTAGCCTTTGCCAAACCAGGTATTTCCGATCCCAGAAATGTGTTCCTGCCTGCAGAATTGTGCCACATCACAGACAGTCCTGCTACTAGCATTCCTGTACCTTATTTAAGAGCAAGCTGGGGCAGTACTGTGAGCAGTAACTCTTCCCTAGGCATCAGTGCTTGAAACATATCTGAGCCTGTGGCATTAAGGCTTACTCTCTGAGCAGGTACAGTGGAGCAAGCATATAGGACTGGAGACCCCTTGCTTCGTTTTTTTTTTTTTTTCAAGGTCATCCTTTAAAGACAAGAATCTGCGAAAGCCGAAAGCACAGCACTCATCTCTCCCTTCCTGGCCCCAGCCTTTGAATAGATACATGATTCTAAGTGCACTTTAGTGTGTCTGGGCAAGTGATGGCAGCTGGCTTGTAAAAAGACAGTGGGTAAGAAAGACTGCATTGCACTCAGCATCATAGGTAGTCTGAAAAACATAGCAACTGGATATGTAGCAAGTTTTCAAGCAAGCTTAGGTGCTGACAGGCAGTGCTTTGTGGTGAGTCCCTGGGTGGAGAGAGAGATGGAGGAAGTGAGATGTGCATAACTACTTTGGTGAAGGGAATTGTGCTCTCCTAGGGGAGGGTTACATACTTAAAAGCCCAGCTGATGGTTTGGAAGAGAGGAAAGATAGCCTGGAAGGGAATTCTAGGGGTGGCGTAAACAAGGGGCTCACAGCCCTTTGCACTTTGTTTATTTAGGGATGCACTCCTGCAAGTTCTTACAAATCAAGGTGATTACTACATGTCTGCTTATGTTCCTTAACTATTAGCACACCAAGACTTTTTCCCACAGATCATTCAAATAAATTCAGAGTGGGTCACAAGTGCAGAGGCTTAAACGAACTGAGACTCGTTGCCTCCTTATATTTATTGCAGTATAGCTGAAACTTTTAGTGGTACAATTTTTGAAAATTGATTAAGTTTGAACACATACTGATCTGGGCCCCTTGAAAAGAATTAATTAAAACGCCTCTTCTGATCACACTTTGGGAGATGAACTGGGTGCTAAGACACGACAGTCAATGAGGCAGGCATTGATTTGCAGAGTGTAAGTAGTGCAGACTGACAGTAAGTGAATAAGAATGCCTAAACAGCAGCTGGCATCGTGGCATAGTGGATAAAGCTGCTGCCTGCATCCCCTGTATCCCATAAGGGCACCTGTTCAAGTCCTGGTTGCTCCACTTCCAATCTGGCTCCCTCCTTATGGCCTGGGAAAAGCAGTGGAAGATGGCCTAGGTGCGTTGGCTCCTGCTGCCCACATGGGAGACCTGGAAGAAGCTCCTGGTTTCAGCCTAGCCCAGCCCTGTCCATGCAGGCATCTGGAGAGTGAACCAGCAAATTGAAGATTGATTGATTCTCTCTCTCTCTCTCTCTCTCTCTGTAACCCTGCCTTTCAAATAAATAAATAAATAAATCTTTTTTGAAAAGGACTAAAGAACATCAGATAGTAATCCACGAAGGGCAGATAAGAAGAAAAAATACAAAAAGGGCATAAGCAAGAACATTTCAGAGAGTGAAGTGTGGTGATGCAGCAGTTAATGCTGTTGATTTGAAGCTAAGAGGACAGAGGATCCAAATCTGTTCTCTGAAGTGGGAGTGGGGATAACTATTGGGATGATGACTAGGACTTCCTGAGGCCCAGATGACCTTGAGGGGGAGGCTTTTGATGGGAACATTTCCCTGAGTCATCTCTAGAGAGACTTCATTGCTGACACACAGGCTAAATCTCAGCCAAGGGCCATGCTTGCTCGGCCCTATTATTCAAGAGTCTATGAGTAGGGACTTTCTGCCCCATCCACGGAAGGAAGGCTTAAAGTGCTGTGTACCCAGTGCAGCCCTCCCCATCTCGTACAGACACAGCTGGAGCCTAAAATCATATCCTTGTCCTCTCCTCACAAATATTTATGCCATCTGTAATCTGAGGGGGGTCAGTTTATCTATAGAAAATTTTAGCAACAAAGTACGAAATACTTCTTCTGTGGCTACTTCTTGCCCCAGATAGAGACCTAATGGGATCAGCCATGGGTCCTGGTCTGAATGACAGTAACGATGCAAGGACAAGTGTGTCCGTAATACAAGGTAAAAACTGGTGGAACATTTGTTTTGAGTTAGGCATTGTGATAAGTACTTTATATAAAGAATACAGTATCACCTACTTACACATACATCATATTGAATTCATAAAACAATCTGTTAGATATGTTTTGTTTTCATTATGTGAATAAGATAACTGAGAGAGCTTAATTTCAAGGTTGTACTAATAGTATCAATCCAACTGTGATACTGTGCTATTTATTGCCTATATGCCACTATTCCTTAGAACGTAATCATCTCGCTTCCCATGTTGGATCGTTCTCTCCCTTTTTTATTCTATCAGCTAGTATTTGCAGATACTAGTCTTGTTTATGTGCTCCCTTTGGCTCTTAGTCCTATCAGAGTTGGTGAACTCAAGAGGCTTCCATAGCCTTGGCAACTCATGACAAGAGCCTAGGGTGATTACTGTTGCCATAAACAAGAGTGTCAATTTGTTAAGTCAACAACAGGAGTCACTGTGCACTTACTCCTCATGTAGGATCTCTGTCCTTAATGTGCTGTACATTGTGATTTAATGCTACAACTAGTACTCAAACAGTATTTTCCACTTTGTGTTTCTATGTGGGTGCAAACTGTTGAAATCTTTACTTAATATATGCTAAACTGATCTTCTGTATATAAAGAGAATTGAAAATGAATCTTGATGTGAATGGAAGGGGTGAGGGAGAGGGAAAGGGGAGGGTTGCGGGTGGGAGGGAAGTTATGGCGGGGGGAAGCCATTGTAATCCATAAGCTGTACTTTGGAAATTTGTATTCATTAAATAAAAGTTAAAAAAAAAAGTAATCATCGTCACACCTTTTAAGTTTACAAAGATCCACAATTTTTCTTTTAATCTTTCAGAGTTTTTGAAGGAGACTTCCATCTTTCCTTTCCTTCCTTTCTTTTAAAAAGCAGATGTTGTTTGTGTATTTGGGGGGAAAATGTGTTATTTAAAACACAAGCAACATAACAGAACATACACAGCAACACATTTGTCTTTGTAGATTTTCAAACTGATCCAAGTCCTTTTCTGTTTGAAAGTTGCTGTTGGGTTCAAGAGGTTGTACAGGCAACAAAGCATTCTGATTTCTTGAATTTTTAAGTGCTGACTTTCTCTCATCAGTAGGAAAAACACTCTATCTCTCCTAATTGTTCTATTTTCCTCACTAATTGATAACCCACTGTGCCATTTGTATCTGTGGGAATTTGAAAATATTTTGCTTGTCTAGAAAAGTAGTAAATACCTAAGGCATTCCTTCCTATGTTTGTGTGCATCATCCTGATAATTATGCCTCTTTTTTGCAAGTACTCTTTTTGGAAGATCTTTCCGGGCTTTTTACTTTTCTGGGAAGTATGGAATGCATACACTAGTCTGTTAAATCTGAGGTGTTTATCACAATTCTTCTAAGAGGGATTCCCCTGTGTACTATTTTTTT